TTTTTTAATTTTATTTTTTTAAGATTTTATTTTATTATTTATTCATGAGAGACAGAGAGAGAGGCAGAGACACAGGCAGAGGGAGAAGCAGGCTCCACGCAAGGAGGCTGATGTGGGACTTGATCCTGGGACTCCAGGATCATGCCCTGGGCCGAAGGCAGGCGCTAAACCGCTGAGCCACCCAGGGATCCCCAAAGGATTTCATTTTAAACCAACAGTCCAACTACACGATTCCACTTTGCACTGTATGAGCAAGGTCTCTCGGCCACCCAGGCCTGACTCAACCCTCCGAGAGGCCGGGCCAGTATGTCATGGTGATACCTGCGTGTAAGACACATCCCTTCCCGGTGACTAATGTGACCGCTCCAGGTGAAGTACACGTACATGTGAGATTTACTGCTGATTGCACGCAAGAGTCACACAGTGGAGACATTGCTCAGCTCCTCAAGGGTTGAGAAATGAGCCCTCATCACAAGCCACCTGCTCAGAAAGGAGCGGAAGACTGACAGCCGAGGGCAGACACAGGGGCAGCAGAGGGGGTGCTCCTGGGGGGGCGATACACAGGGCTCCTGGGGCCTCCTTCTTGTGTTTTCTTAGCACATGCACACACTGCTTTTCAATTTCTAAGGGTAACCACAGTTTGGTTTCATCCCTCCCATAATACAAGTCATATATTTTTTTTCTTCGAGAGAGAGAGAGAGAGAGAGAGTGAGGATGAACAGGAGGAGGAGCAGAGGGAGAGAGAGAGGGAGAGAACTCCAAGCAGACTCCACGCTGAGCATGTGAGCCCGACACGGGGCTCAATCCCACGACCCCACGATCATGACCTGAGCTGGAATCAAGAGTCGGACATTCAACTGACTGAGCCCCCAGGGCCCCCCCCCCCCGCCGCATACTTTCTATGCATAAGCAAATATATGTGCGTCTACATCTTAAAAAAACAATAACAACGACAACATTTGTGTGGCCTCATAATGCTCAGTCTCCTGCCTCTCTCAATTCATGATCCAGCTCGGATATTCTTCCCAGGCAGCCCTAGCTCCTCCTTTCTCACAACCACATGGTATTCTGGCCCGAGCCCACACCTCGGCTCGGCTCCCCTCTGCCGCTGGCAGTCACCCGGGGGAGCTCTACGTGACAATCTGTCCCTCTAAGCAGGTTCTCAGCCTCACCTCCTGACAGACCGAGGTCAGGTCACCAAGCGGCGACAGTCTAATACTTTAAATTAGCTACTTGCCCGCTCACCCCTCAGCCAGAGGAAATAGAAGTGTTCGCCAGGAGAAGGCTCAGAGCAGCATCCTCTCCTCTTAGATTTCAGTGTTTCGGAAACAGACAGGCTGATGCACCAAGCGACTTGTGTTCCAAGGATCCCGGGCCGTTGGCGGGGCACTGGGCCACATCCTGTCTCCCCTGACCCTCATCTTGGTGCCACAAAGTAGGTATTATTAGCATCACTGTTTTTGCAGAGGATTTTGAACCTGAGGCTCAGAGAGGAGATGTCGTCTATCCAGGGTCACACGGCTTGTAAGCGGCGGGGGACCCAGAAACGAGAGACAGATCTGATGAAATCCTGCGTTCCTCCTGAGTCCACGGTGCACGGTGTCGCCGGCCTCTTGGGTGGATGCTTTGCTGAAAAGGTGGGTGACATAAACAGCCACCTGCACGGCTCAGTTTGCCAGACCTGCTGGCTTCCTCTAGTGCCTGTGACAAACTACCACAAGCGCCAGGCCTAGAAGAACACAGATTCATGTGCTCACCGTCCTAGAGGTCAGAAGCCCAGACTCGGCCTCGGGGAGGCTAGAAGGAAGGCGTCAGCAAGGCCGCGCTCCTGCTGGAGGCCTACGGGAGAACCCGTCCCCGGGTGATTCCAGCTTCTAGGGGCTGCTCGCCTGGCTCAGCTCAGGGCCCTTCCACGAACCACATCACTATGCACTCTGCTTCCACACCTCTGCCTCCGTCTTAGAAGAACACCTGAGTCTACACTGGACCCGCCAGGACGATTCAGGATAATCGCCCCACCTCAAGGGGCATCTGCAAAGTCCCTTTTACCATGTCAGGTAACACCTTCCAGGTCCGGGGGATTAGAACACGAACATGGTTCAGCAGCCGTTATCCTTTCTATCCCGGGGGGCTGCTAGCATAGTGGTTAAGCGCAAGCATATACATCAGTTGGAATCCTGGCTCAACTGCTTGGTAGCAGATGGAGGTGTGTAATGTCTCTGAGTCCCAGTTAGCTTGACCCGAAACACTAGAATCATAGAATGTCCCTTCCAAGGCTGTTGAGAAGATCAAACGCTACAATGGCTGCAGAGCTCTGGAAACATCGTGCTCAGTAAATGGGAACTGTCATCCTCTCCACTGCCTGTTATGGTGATGGGTAACAGAAATTCCACCATTCGAGATTTACTTCTTTGGCTCTTTCCTCAAGGATGCATCTCGGGCCCTTGTGAGCTGACAGGTAAGTTGGCAGTTAAATTAAGTCGGGCGCTTCAATGGGACCTAGAGAACCAGGGAAGAATTGAGGGAGAGGGCCATGAAGGGGTACGATGACAAGGAGAAACACGCTTCCCTTGAGTTTCTAGTTTCGTCTGTGGCTCCACTTTGGAGGAGATTTTCTCCAGCCTCTCCCCAGATTAGGCAGGATGAGCCTGCCTGAAAGGAACACTCCGAAGACGAGTTGCTGAGATGGGCCAGACCTGCCCAGTTAGGTTTGTGGCGGAGCAGGGCGGGTCTGGAATTGGACCCTGGCACAGAAATGTCCTGGGGCTCTTTGCCTCCTGCCGAAATGATCATCCCCAGTCCCGGCCTCTCCAAAGTTGGTCTTGCAGAGTGAAATGAAAGCCAGATTCTGGGTCTTATCGGAGAGCTACATGACTGTTTCTCATCAACCATTTGGAGCCTGGAAGGTTCCCAAATTCATTGTCTAAACGTTGTGAGGGGATACACAGCTCTCCAACGTGAGCTTGTTGTCACAGGTACCTGCCTACACAAACAGTTCCCGCCATTCAATAAACTAATGTTACTGTTTGGGGCTTTCATTTAGCCAACACATATTTATCAAGCGCCTGCAGGCGGCGAGGGGAGAGGGCAGGAGAAATGGGCAGGACACAGGGGTCCCTATCCCCAAGGAGAGCGGGAGGCAGACTTGTAAAGGATTAGGTCACCTTGCAGAGTGAGACAAAAGTGACTTCTCTTCCTGAAAGACAGGAGAAGCAGGGAACCTTGTCTCAGGGGAGGGAGTGTGTGCCGAGTGACAAGGAATTCTTCCAAAGATGGGAGAGCACGGGCTCTGGAGCTGACCAACTGGGGTCTAACTCCTGATGCTTCCCAGCTGTGTGGCCTTGGGCACATGATGACCTCACTTCCCGAAGCCTCAGCTTTCTCTTCTATAAAGTGGGTGTGACCCAAAAGCACCACTGGGGTTGTTGTAGGATTAAACGGGCGGGGAAGTGAGCGGCAGCCTGGCGATGGATTCACGGTAAGGACGTGAGGAATACGCTCTTATTGTTATATTCATGGAGACTCATCACTGTTGCCCTAAATGCTTTCCTCATCCCCCAAATCACAAGTCAGCCCCAGATTTGCCTATTTGTGGACACCAGGGACCTGTTGAGCTGTTACTGTTCAAGTTAAAAAGCAACAGTGGGATGAAATTCCGACACGGGGCGATATAGGTATACGCACGGTTGGATGCTGTGTACCCTTGAACTTGGCGGTAGGGCAGTGAACTTGATTGCAGTTCCACCGCCACTGGGGGGTCTGATTTCTGCCCTGGACACAGCAGATTCCCAGTAGGAGGCGCCTTCTGTCCTCCGCTGGGTTCTCTGACACCCAGCCAACGGCCTATTGGCCTTCCTCAGGGTTTGAACTTCAAAGGCCTGGACAGTCACAGGAGAAGGGGGCCCCCCACCTGGCTTCTCTTGGAATTCAAAACAATCTAAGATTGGGAGAGGCAGCGGGCTGTCTCCTCGCTCCGTGTTTAGAATCCAGATTTTTTTTTTTTTTTTTGGTCTGGCTGTGATCTCAGGTTTGGGTGCCCTGGAGGTTCCAGGGGGGACCTCCAGGTGGGGGGCAGAGGCAGGGCGGACCTAAGAGGCACCCTCACCAGTGCGGGTTTACTCTCCCCAGAGCCAGGCTTCAGGCAGCAGTTCTGGGGCTCTAAGCAGAGGGGGCCGCCGCTTGCAACCTGGTGGTCAGAGTGACCCCCCCCCCCAACCGTGTTTCATTGGGAAGGTTCTCCGGAAAGCTGGGAGCGAAAGCAGCCAGCAGGGGAGATTCTCTGGGCCTAGGGGCCGCGGGCGCGGGCACCCGAATGGGCTCCCCCCGGGGGGCCGTGCGACCTGGAACACGCAGGGGGCGCGCAGGGGATGGGAGACGGGGTGGGGGGCCGGGGCCGAGGGCAGGAACTGACTCGCTTTTTAAAAATCTGCTTCCTCCTTTGCTACCTCCACCCATCAGTCACCTCGCAAACCACCAGCCCTGGGCGGTGCAGGCGGGTCCCAGCGCCCCGAACACGCCCAAGGCTGAAGAGCGAGGCGGCGGCCTCCCCAGGAAGCAGGGGGGAGGGGGCGGCGGGGAGGCGGGCGCAGCCTGCGCCAGGTGAGCGCCCGGCCAGGTGAAGGCGCGGCAGTGCTGCACCTGCGTACTCGCGCCGGAGTTGGGGGGCGGGGGGAAGGGGGGTCTCCCCAGGTCTAAACACGTAACTAACCTGGAGTCCCGAGTCGCCGGCCCCGGCCCCCATCCCGGGGGATGTCTGGGCTCCGTTCCCGTCCCCCATCCCTGCTTGGCCGACCCCGAGCGGCGGGGGGCGGGGCGCTTGGCGCAGCGCCCCCCTCCCCGCACCCCTGCCCCGCGCGGGCGCGAGACCCGGGGCGCCTGGGCTCGGCAGGCCCCGGGGTGGGGGGGGTCGGCTGGTGGGCGGCGCCTCCCGGGGCCCGAGGCCGCTCCCGCCGGCGCCGCCCTCCGCCTCCCGCCGTCCCTCCCCCCTGCGCGCCGGCGCTCCGAGGCCGCGCTTCCTGCGTCCCCATCCCCGGCCCGGGCGGGCGCTGCGCGCTCTCCGCCGCCGCCTCCCTCGGCCGAGACCCGCGCCCGCACCGCCGGCCCCGGGTCACAGCGCCCCGGAGGAGGCAGCCCGGGGGCACGGGGTCGAGGAGCCCCGGTGCCCGCCCGCCCGCCCGTGACCCAGCGGGACCCGCAGCCGCCCCGGTGAGTCTGCGCCGCCGCGCCTTCCGCCCGGGAGGGAGCCGAGGGCCGTCGGGGTCGATGTGTCCGTCCGTCCGTCCGTCCGTCCGGGAGCTGCCCGTCCCGCGTGGGCCGCCGGGAGGCCTGCGGACCCGCACCCCTGCAGCCGCGCCCGGCGGGTGCGGGACACCCCGCCTCCCCGCAGCGCGCCGACCTCGGCCGGGCAGGCTGCGCGCCTCCGGGGCCCCCTGCTGGCGAGGACAGGTGCCAGCGCGGGGCGGGATTCGAACCCTCGGCCTGGCCCGCGAGGCACCTTCCCGGGAAGCCCCTGGAAACCACCCTGGCGCTGCCGCGTCGCTGCCCCTTCCCCCCTCCCTCACTCTTTTCTGGAAACCGAGGCTTTGGGCGGATTTAGATTCGCGGGGGTGTCCCGGCAGCAAAAAACGGTGAGAAATCGGGCGTGAGCGAAGTGAGGTGAAACGCCGCTTCCTCACTGTGAAATGGGCGTGATGACCTCCCGGGATGAGGCGTGCGGCCTGGAAGTGCCAGGTCTAGTGGGAAGGGAAGGGGTGGGGTGGGGTGGTCAGCCACGGGGCACCTGCGCACCCCCGTCGGCGAGCTTGTGCGGCCCAGGCCAGATCCCTCCTCGCGATGTGGGTGGTCCAGGCCCCGGAACCCCTGCGGGGCCGTGTGGGCGGGGCCTGGGCCGTGTGGGCGGGGCCTGGGCCGTGTGGGCGGGGCCGGGACCGGCCCAGGTGGCGAGCGCTGGGGAGGGGTTACCCTCTGGAGCTGGCATCTCTAGTGGAAGGAGGAAGGTCGGCTCTGGGACCTGTGAACGGCTCTCACCCCGCGGAGACTTGTCACGCAAAGATCTTGACCTCGGTTGATAGGAACAAATGGAATTGGGGAGGAGCCCCGTTCCCTCCAGATGCTTCCCTCCGCCGCTTGCCAGAGGTCCTGCCCAGACTAGGAGAAAGAGAGGAAGAGAGGAAGGGGAAGAGGCTGGCGGTGCATCTGTCCCTCGCGATGCTCTGTCCAGTGGTTGGATGATGAGGGCCTCCTGGGCATCAAGCAGGGCCAGGCCTGTCCCTCGCCATGCAGAGCCTCAGGACCTCGAGAGCTCCCAGCCTAGTAAATGACACGTGTCGCTCAGAGGTGGTGATACAGTCAGGCCCCAGCACCCCAGGCTGGTTGTGTGACCTGCTTCCCTGAGCCTGAGTGACAGCCTCCTAGGTGGGACCTTCGTGCCTAGCACGCAGCAAGTGCTCTGTAGGAAGTTCCATGACAGGGCTTAGGGGGAGAACAGGAGAGAGAAAATACCCCAGGCTGAGGTGTGCCGGGAGGTCCTGCTAGGAAAAGAATGTTGGAGTAGTCAACAGTGTACTGGAGTCCCTCGGGGAAGGGGATGAGGGGTGTCTGGGCAGATGGAGCAGCACGAGCAAAGGCCCAGAGGTGCGAAGGCACATGGGGCATGGTGGGCCTGGGGGAGTGTGCTCAGGCCGTGGCAGATGGGTTTGTGGAAAGGTGGGGAAAGTAAAGGGAATGGAGGGTCTGGAATGAGCTAGACTAGGTAGGCAGGGGGCCGGGCATTGCCCGTGGGACTTTATCACGTGGATGCCTGGGAGCCATTGAACGAACATGTGTTGACTGAGCACCTTCCGTGGGCCAGGCACCTTCTGGGTGCTCAGGACAGATCACTGAACAAGAACGACCAAGACAGACACAGATTCCATTCACGTTCTTTAAGCAGGGGAGTCATTTGATCCTGTTGATATGTGAGGAAGATAATTCTGGCTGCGTGGAAGTCTGTGGAGAGTCCGGGGAAGCCTGCAGGGAGAGGGGAGGCTGGCCTGCGGGGTGGGGGCAGTGGGGATGAAATGGGGGGCTGGCGTGGAGCCCCGCCCAGGAGCCAGAGATGAACAGGTGGTCTTCACACGTGACCAACTGCTCAAGGGCGAGGTTTGTGGATTTGGTGTGAGGCCCATACTGCCAGCCTGTCTCCTGCCAGAGAGCGCGGACGGGTGCCCGGGACCTTGGCAGGGCCCAAGCCCCTCCAGCCGTGAGGCCTGTCCTGCTCCCTGAGCCCCAGAAGGCACAAGGCCCTCTACGTGAGGGATGGCAAGCTGGAGGCAGAGCCAGCGGCCCACCTCCTGGGCAACCTGCCTCTCAGGGCTCCTGTTTTACTGGGCCGTGGTTCTGGTAAACGTTCTCTCCCTCTCTGGGGCTGGCGGTAAACCCCTCAGGACCCTCGGGCTGGAAGAGGGGCTTTGGCTCTGGGCTTCTCCCCCCCCCCCCCCCCAGTTCCAAATTAAAGTGAATTCGAGGGACTGAGCAGAGTTTTCTTCCTAAGTACTGGGGACATTCCAGAAGCTCAGATGTCTTCTGTTGGGAATGTGGCGAGGGGTCTTGCATCTGGCTTCCGGCTTCTGGTCATGTCTGTTCTGAAGCTTGGTCGGCTCATTTCTTGCCATTGACAGCTGTAAGGGTATCTCCCATGTTGGAGGTCTTCCTCTGCTGGGAGGGGGAACCACACTGTCTTTCACCAGCCGCAGGAGGACCCCAGAATGTCTTGGGTGGAGGGGACCACTCTCATTTGACCAATAAAACTCAGAGCGGGGAAGGCCACAGAGCAAGTCAGCAGGGACTGCCACCCACCTCCTGAGCACTCCGGGGTCCCCTGCGGCCTCCCAGGAGACCTGGCCTGGACTCCAGCTTAGTACAGGTTTGGTGGTTTCTCAGGCTCTCCTTCTTGCCGGCCACTTCATAGAGTCTTGCCCCTCCCCAGCCTGGACAGGTGGCCTGGCGTTTTGGTTCTCTTCCTCTTGGACTGAGCCCCTGGTACACTGGCTGCCCCTCCTGGGAGCTCTGGCCCCCCAAAGAAACAGGCCGCTTGTTTGGTTTTCCCCCAGAGGCAGCCCTCCGAGGGTCCCTGCTGAGCTCTCCCACTAGCTGTGGCCTCAACCTGATTCTTGACTCCTCCCTCCCCTCAGCCCCAACCCTTATCTCCGGAGGCTGGTTGGCCCTGCCTTCTATCCAGTGTTGTTTACTTGGGCTAAGCTGCCAACAGTCTCTTATTCTCTCCTGTCCTAGATTTATCAGACTCAGCAGCCTTTAAACCTGAATGCCGATCCCTTTAGCTCTTAGGCTTCTGAAGCCAGAGGGGACCAGAGCCATCAGAAAGTCTAATCTGCTTATTTTGTAAATGGGGAAACTGAGGCCCAGGGAAAGGAAGGCACTGGCCTGAGTTCAGAGCTAGGACTAGACCCCGTTTCCTGATTTCAAGGATGGTTCTTGAAAATAAACCAAAGCAATGAAATCAGAGGAGCCTCTTTCTCTCTACTCTCCACACTGGCAGGTGTTTTGGAGACATCCACAGTGACGTATGCAGGAGGGGTAAATGCTGAGGGACCTGGAAGATGGGTGCACATTGAGGAGTATATATCTTGGGGCGCCTGGGGGGCTCAGTGGTGGAGCGTCTGCCTTTGGCTCAGGCCGTGACCCCGGGGTCCCGGGATCGAGTCCCACATCGGGTTCCCTGCAGGGAGCCTGCTTCTCCCTCTGCCTGTGTCTCTGCCTCTCTCTGCGTCTCTCATGAATAAATAAATAAAATCTTTTAAAAAAAATGAAAGAAGGAGTATATATCTTGACATTTTCAAGTTCTATCTGCTCAAACTGGCATTAAGGCCAGGGAATAAGCTAGTGATTAACCGACATTATTTGCTGCTCCTCTAAGCATACAGGCATTTAAAGTTGTTTTCTCCCCCAAATTACAAAGGAAGGACACGCTCCTCATACAAAACTTGGATGGAAAACATCACGATATGCTGGCAACCACTGTTGATGGGTGTTTACACAGATTTTTTTGTTCTCTTGCTTGCTCTGCTACTTCATACCCTGGTTTTTCAGTCCGTCGTCCTAACGTGCATTTCCCCGTGTGACAGCACGCCCAGCTCCTACCTGTCAGTCTCACGCGCTTCTACCATCCGATGGCTGGAAATGACTCAGGAGGCCAGCTTTCTGTGGCTCTGTCAGAACCCTCCAGCAACCAAAATGCTCGCACGCCATGCAAATCATTCACCTCCGTGGGACTTCAGGGGGCCATTTCTCTGCACTGCCGTGGTGTGGGGAAGGGCATGTTTACAAAATGTAAAGCAAAAATCAATTCTTAGGGAGCCTCTTAGAAACGGAGGAAGTTAGGCATCCAGGTGGCATGGGTGTGATCCAAAGATTACAGAAGGGAAGAAGATGTCTTTGTTTCCTCTCATTTTTTGCTGTGTTGGTTTTAACCCAGCCAAGTGCTCCCACCCCACTGCTACCACCCTTGCCCTGAATCTCCCCCAGGGTTCGGCACTGGGGTAGCAAGTGTGGGTTCCTAGGAAAATCAGTACTGTATTGGCTTGCTTGTCTCCAAGCCCTGCCTCTTGGACAGCAAGTATTTCAGTGGCAGACAATTGAGTTGCCTACTCAGGTGATCCAGGCTGGGTCACCTTTGGGACAGGGTCTCCTGGCAACTCTCAGACTCTAATGGGGTCACAGCTTTGGTAATGCCATATAAATTGTCAATGCTAGAAGTGACCTCAGAGGATCCCTTAGGCCAGTGCCTGCAGACTGTGGGCAGCGACTTAGTGGGTTTGAAAATCAGTTACGTAGTTTTCCACTGGCTTTTTAAAAGTGAAATAGAAGAAAGCCGACTAGAAAACAGCGTGCATCTCACGACAGGAGATGCATTCTTCAAGGGAACTTTCATCTCAATTTTCTGGGTGCGGGTATGCACTGAGTCACCAGATAAATATATTTCCATCTGCCTGGTAAGAACCTTGGGTAGCCCTGCTCCTGTCCGTTGGTTTGGTTTTTGTTGTTTTATTTTTTTATTTTTATTTTTTTAAAAAAGATTTTATTTATTCATGAGAGACAGAGAGAGAGACAGAGACACAGGCAGAGGGAGAAGCAGGCTCCATGCAGGGAGCCGGACGTGAGACTCGATCCCGGGTCTCCAGGATCACGCCCTGGGCTGAAGGTGGCCC